GACATTTTTAAACATTTTAAAACTTTTGCAATTCCAAATCCCAAACAGGAGTAATCGATTCTAACTTTGTCTTAGGTGAGCAACTCCATCTCTGCTGTGTCTGGATGCTCTTTCTCTCCTGCCTTTGTGTTGTTACAGCTTACTGTAGACAGATGGTAATCCATTAGCACTACTAAATAGCTATGTGAATCAAATAAAGAAAGGAAACTCCATTATTCCTCACATGTGAGAATGATTTATATGATCTACCAATATCTGCCAGATCTCAATGATAAAATGTGTGGAACTTCCTGTGATTCTCCGCTCCTCACCCGAACCCAGATCTGATGGAGGGGCTGTAATAATGGCCCTTCTGGACCCATGAATCAGCAAACCTAGTGGCAGAAGTGCTATCACAGTCCCCAGAGCATGGGGCGCAGCACACTGTGAAATTGAAACTTGGGAGTCTCTGACTGGGTTAAAGCAGGCCAGCTGCAAAGACTTTGCAGCAAGCATTGGATATAGCACGGGAGGTAGAAGCTAACTGGGCCTTCTACATCTAAGTGAGATTTTTATTCTTAAGGTCTAGAGATCGAGAGACTAGAGATTTCTCAGGTAAGAAAAAATCCTGAAACGTTCTGAATGTATGACTGAAGGTTAACGTGCACTCCAAAGCATCCGACAGCAAGCCCAACAGGGAATACGTGCATGGATATCAAAGATTGCAAAGAACACAATAGATTTTCACCAAGATGGTAAAAACAAATATAAGTGCATACAGAAAAAATGGTTCTTGTATCTTTACACACAGAACCAACAGATGCACTTGTACACACATATTACCTGACAGAGCTAACAGAGTAACAGAGAGAATAAAAATGTCAGGAATCACTTAAAACAGATACGGAAGCATCTTTACCCTTCCATATCCCCAGTACAAATTCCATGTAACATAAGACTGTGTCTATGTGAGACAATTGTCTGCTGAATTCTCAGCAAGCAGTTGGATCATTATGTGTCATGCCTCCTCAATGATCACTCCAGGCAGTACACTTAACCACAGTTAATGTGTGTGTGTGGTACGTGCACATTAAAGGAACAGTCTTTTCCCTCTAGTTTATAGAAACATTTAATTTAAAGTATTTCAGATTATACTCCTTTCTTACTGGGGTCCCCTTAAGCTTAGCTCAACTGCTACCTGCACACTTCCTTTGGCTGGTGGATGGAGACGAAGAAGAAAGAAAATAGTTCCTACAAAATCTGCAACAACAAGATTTGTGGGTGTTTTTGTGTCTGAGTCATGACTCTGGAAAGAAACAGTGCTGCTGAGTTTTTCCTTTCATTATTATTTCTTTCTGGTACCACAAGGCCGGGGCTTTTTAGTTCCGCTATACTAAACACAAAGGACATCTCGCATCAGCAGAT